GAAAAAGCAGAAAAACGCAATATGGACAAAATGTTGCCCAAATATTCTGCTGTAGCCACATAGCAGCTTTCCGGTTTCGGCGGTAATCATTGCATATCAATTTCTGATACCCAATTTGCTGGGCTAAGCTGCCTTGCAAACTTGCTTTCGGTCGTCTAGGTAGTTGATTTAAGCAGGTCGTGATTCTGTGAGCAGCTGCGATGCAACGGATGCAGCATCACCTCTTTGAGTTGAAATGAATGAGGGCACGTTCTAGCGCCAATTAAATCGGCCGTTGTCCGTAAGCAGATATATTGACAAAGGTACAGACTGTCAGAATATCATCATCATTTACCGTTTTGAAAATAAATGTCGTTTCAAACCATGAATGACTTCATTTCTTTCAGTCTAACCTGTAAAATATGTAGTTACTATTTCTATGGTAGTGGAAGAGGTCTGATAACTTAATTGGTTGAGCGTCGATAGCTGGAAGACTAGTGCGGCCGTCGCTGAGTTCCTATTGGTTCTACAGCAGTGTTAGCTACACCCGTAAGCTAAATTATGGACAGTTACTAGTCTTACGATGAAGACGTCTGTGAAATGTCCGTGAATATCTGCTTTTTAGTTGTTTTTTGTTCTTTTTTCTTTAACATTTTTTGCTGTTGATTTCGAAAATTATCGTTTGTAATATTTACTGGGCTATCTAAAATCTTCCTTTATTGATATGCATCCGGTACAGTTGTTAAACAATATCGCGATTCTCGCTAAGGCTTTTATTTCCTAATGAAAGTTGTTATCTGGATATCTTCTATCATTGTTTGCACAGAGCTATGAGGATGGCTCGGCATATTTCTGCTTTACATAACGCTTGTAATGGGTTCACCAAGTGAAGACTTTCAGGCAATTCATTCAGATAATCAATTTGACTTTTTTCAGGGTAAATTTCCTGTAATGACTTGATGTCGCGTTTTGAATTAAAGGTTTAAACTGAATTTTTATAAGCTATGTCTTATTACTGTATAATTCTTGTAGTATTTTCTTAAGTTATGCATCAGGGAGTTCCATAGTATTCCACCGAATTTGTGCACGACTTCTAAGCCTTCTGTTCCAAGTGTTTCTCTTCTGTTCTAGACAGTTTTCCTAATCCATGCCCCGTCATGTATATCTTTCCCTTTACTTCAGTTAGGCCCCTCGGGACCATTATCCATTGTACAGCAGCCAGTTATCGTGAAACTTAATTCCTGAATAAAATTCTGTTATCCACTGCGACCGTTCTGCTGTTCAAGTCGGTACCATATCTGAACTGTGACCAAGTGCAGTTGTCGATACGGACTGTGTACGCTGTTCCCTCGTCTGACATTCGCAGAACGGTGATTACCGAGATGACCATCAATTATCGGGCAGTGCAGCGTCTGTGAGAGCCGAGAGCTCAGCTGATGATGAATCACCGATGGTGGTACTCCGGCATCATTGAATCCATGATTCATGACTAGTGGGAATATAACGTATAGTGGTTTTGTACTGGGCAGCGT